ATGTTTACAGGATATTGTATAGGGAGATCTAGCTGTTGTAGCAAACTAAACATTTATGTTTACAGGATATTGTATAGGGAGATCCAGCTGTTGTAGCAAACTAAACATTTATGTTTACAGGATATTGTATAGGGAGATCTAGCTGTTGTAACAAACTAAACATTTACAAGATTATCTATAGCTACTGATTGCAAGATGGTGGACTAGCTATTACCATTTTGGCATGATCTATTACACTGAGTGAAATATATCTGCACTTTTGTGTTGGTCTAGTACAATACCAGTAGATCAATTTTCACACACCAGTTTGTCCATTGAATAGAAATCTGAATAACAGGACATAGACCCGCTTTATCCTGTACGATTTACAAAACATGTCCCACATATGTATCATATATTTAGTGTATATGGGTCATATATATACACACATATATACCTTTTTATTATTTACTGACTAGTAATTAAGACTTGAAGCAGGTCTTGGCATGTGTTCCTTTATTGCAATGTCTAACAGACCATACAGATGTAAACTTGTAGATGTTTATCGAGTACCGTCCATTGTGGGTAGAACATAAACTGTTATAAGTGTAAATAGGATTATGTGTATTTATTACCATAAGTATAACAATGTGACCTATGATAGCCTTCTTACCTGATCAACACCCACCTATGATAATCAATATCCTATGTGTTATACCTCACTGCAAGTACTTAGTACTTAACTCAGGCTGAACTTCAATCCTCATTTAGGGGGCCCATCCTTTTTCTTTCTCATTTAAATGCACGTTTCTTTTGAATGTTTGTATTGATAAAGGTACTGCATGCATATCAGATATTTAAATTTCATGGAGTCACTCAGGTACCTTGGATGGTGATGTGGCACCATGTCCTGCTGCTACAAGGAAATTATACGGCCAAAGTAATACTGCTGCAGAGTCACTTCATGGCCCCAACTATACTGCTGCAGAGTCACTTCATGGCCCCGACTATACCGCTGCAGAGTCACTTCATGGCCCCAACTATACTGCTGCAGAGTCACTTCATGGCCCCAACTATACTGCTGCAGAGTCACTTCATGGCCCCAACTATACTGCTGCAGAGTCACTTCATGGCCCCAACTATACTGCTGCAGAGTCACTTCATGGCCCCAACTATACTGCTGCAGAGTCACTTCATGGCCCCAACTATACTGCTGCAGAGTCACTTCATGGCCCCAACTATACTGCTGCAGAGTCACTTCATGGCCCCAACTATACTGCTGCAGAGTCACTTCATGGCCCCAACTATACTGCTGCAGAGTCACTTCATGGCCCCAACTATACTGCTGCAGAGTCACTTCATGGCCCCAACTATACTGCTGCAGAGTCACTTCATGGCCCCAACTATACTGCTGCAGAGTCACTTCATGGCCCCAACTATACTGCTGCAGAGTCACTTCATGGCCCCAACTATACTGCTGCAGAGTCACTTCATGGCCCCAACTATACTGCTGCAGAGTCACTTCATGGCCCCAACTATACTGCTGCAGAGTCACTTCATGGCCCCAACTATACTGCTGCAGAGTCACTTCATGGCCCCAACTATACTGCTGCAGAGTCACTTCATGGCCCCAACTATACTGCTGCAGAGTCACTTCATGGCCCCAACTATACTGCTGCAGAGTCACTTCATGGCCCCAACTATACTGCTGCAGAGTCACTTCATGGCCCCAACTATACTGCTGCAAGTCATTATTTGGCACAATGCTGAACTGCTACAAAGTCATTATGTGGCACCAGGCTGAAGAGTTGCAAAGTCCTATGGCATCAAGTTATGTTGTTACAAAGTCATTTTTGTCACAATGCTATACTGCAACAAGGTTATTATGCTGCATCAGACTATACTTCAGCAGTCATTATGTGGCAGCACGCTATACCAATGCTAAGGGATTATATAGCACAATGCTATGCTCCTGCAAATTTATTTTATGGCACAATTCTATGATGCGTCAAAAGTCATTTTGCATCATCAAGCTATATTGCTGATAAGTCTTTAGTGGTAGCAAGCCATATTATTACCTGACTCTCTATTCAAGTGTATATGAAGTATTTTTGACTGTTTTAATAAAAAAAATCCCTGGAAAAGACTGAAAACCCGTAAAATAATGTCAGGGCGCAACAATCGACGTATTTTTGATACAGATTTGTTTTTTGTCGTCTGGTGAAAATTGCAAATAACAGCAGATTTGAGGATATTTCTAAGCAAGATTTGGAATTAAATGGAATCTCTTGATATGTGACATATTTAAATACATGTTTTTTACTACCCAAAGTGTTAACGTTCCAATAAATACAATTGTTATAAATTGATAATTCAATTGTTACATTGACTTTAAATAATAAAGAATTAAATCTTCTATCCTGCCATACAGTCATTTATCCTAACTCGCAATTCAGGAAGTTTCTTGAATAGAGAGTCAGGTAATAAATCATTTGTTTCATTGGTATTGAGGCAGCAGTCAAATCCTTGACCCTCGGTAGCAGGGAAGACCTAAGGAACTGTTGCGCTCGGCCTTCTGCCTTGGGCAACAGTTCCCTAGGTCTTCCCTGCTACCGAGGGTCAATTATTTGACTGTTCCCCCAGTACCAATGAAAAAATTGTATACTGCTGCAAAGTCATAATATTGCACCAGGCTTAAATACTGCAAATTATTATGTGGCATCAAGCTATTCTTCTGATACAAGGTCATTATGTGGCATCAAGCTATTCTTCTGATACAAGGTCATAATGTGGCACCAAGCTATATTGCTTAAAGTCCATATTACAATGCTGCAAGGTTTTGTGTACAACACTTATCAATGTAGAACAGTGTACTGGGTTTTTCTGCTAGACATCACTCCTGTCTATTTGAACCAAAAGTTGACATTGTTCCAGGTTTTATTTTTCAAATTATATTGCCATATGTGATGATGTTCGTTCATCATTGAAATGTGTTAACATATCTTTTTTATCCCTGTACAGTGTGGCAGAATACTTATCGTGCAAAGACTGGTACAGTATCTCTCTTTTCACCATTTCATGCTTGCCAAGTAGAATCAACAACAAACAGATGTTATATTGTCTTTGCAAAACTTTTTTTTATTTTTTGTTCACTTCTTCAATAAATACGAACAGTTCAATACAACCCTGAAGTGCAGCGACCAACTTGTAAACACAGATGGCTGAATGATGACAGGTGACATGAGTGAGTAATGTTGGAATACTGAGGGTATTCTGGACTGTCCAGCAACCTCTTGTCTGTTAGTCTAGGAGAGGGCTGTAACACTAATGACCTAATCCCCCCAAGTACCACAGTGGACACGGTGTCCAGACTGGTACCAGTGGTATAGATAGGGAGTAAAAAATAGTACAGACTACTTTGATTTTATTACCAATTTCACTTTCAAATTTTGATTTTAAAAAAATCTTTAAACCTGTTTTAAATAAAAACTAAAAACCTTTTGGAAAAAAATAAAAGAAACTTAATATTATTGTGTTCGACTTTTTCATACATCCCTTATTTCATCCTGAGACCACAGACAAGAGCTATATTTCAAACATGAGACTAATGATGGACAATGAGAGTGCAACAGCAATTATCACAGCTGATCAATGAAGTAGGTGTCCACACCAGATTAAGTTCACGAACGTTATAAATATACATGTATGTACACGAGGGACTTATTACTCCTCTTTGACTCAAAATATGTCACACACATTTTACAATATTATTTATGAAGACTGGCAGTGTAATCAATTTCTTTTTATCAGTCAATCAAAACCCAGTCTATTGCAACCTTGTCCACTCCCATACTCCAAAATGGATGTGACATGGGGTAGTTCATTATGGTCTGCTAGGGTAAACCAAGACAATTAGACTGAATGAAATTTGTAAAGGTATTTCATACTCAAAATGTACACAAATTTATGTAAACATGTCTTAAAAATATATTCTTCAAAAAATTATGAATTCATCACAATTGTCCTGTCAAAGGAAAGAAACTTGGACGGATTCCTGATAAGGGCATATTGGACGAATTCAGAAAAGAATTAACTTCCAAAAGTAAACAAATATATCTTCATTTTGCAAATTTAACATAACAATGGGACGGAATTATAACTTTCCACATATACAATTTATAGATCATGATTACAGGTAACAACTAATCAATACTGTTTGACAACAATAATACTGGCAACATGGATGTAATTATTACCTAAAAATTCACCTGTCACTAAACACTAGCAAAGAAAAGTTTTTTGTTTTAGTTTATATTATTGATTATCTTTATTTTTTTCGATTTCTTCATTGAAAATTTTAACTTATTTTTTCCATATACACATGACTTTGTTACAATGAAACTTGAGAATAACCTTTCAAAAACAAACACATATATATATAAACCAGTGTTACACATATATAGCACTTATAGAGGTGAGAGGTGAATAAATAGTATTGGATGCATTGATAAAGAAATAAATTACCACACACAAGCATTCTACCGTGAGGGGTGACAGAGTACACACGTTTCACACTTGCCACACGTACAATAAATACACAGCCATCCATTCTCACACTCAGTTCCCTCACCACCCATTACGCTCTACCATGTGTGAAACAATTATGCATTATGAATGTACAGCACCAAGTACCTGGGATGGCTCAATCACTAGAACGGATGAATATTCTTTACTTGGAATGACAGCTTTTTCACCAAAATACTGACCATTTCCCCATTTACTAGTAACTTACCCCCAGAAAAGGCAGTTTTCATTTCCATTTGATGTACATACCAGTAAGTTGAAAATGAAAACGCTTTCGTTCCATCTTTTATAAAGACCTTTCAAAATATGAAAGAATATCAATTAAATAATGTTCACACTTTGCAGGCTACAAACACACAGTGTCAACAAAGTCCTTTTCAAGGTTATTATATCTAGCTCGCTCAACTCGTAAAACACACAGGTATATCACAGAACTGCCTCAGTGTGACCTGACCAACACTCGGTTGCTCAGGTCAAAGAATTTATTACATGACATATTTACTCCATTTTTCCCATAATGAGGAGACTGTGGGCAAATATGCACTAAAATGTCCCAAATCTGGCCAGTTTAAAGTTTAATCTAAATGTCATTCCTGATAGTTGACACGGGGACTAGGAATATTTCCAATGTCAAATAAATTGTCTACATCAAAGGCCTCCCCGATGTCCGCAAAACCCCCCGTCTCTGCCCATGGGTGTGCCAACTCATCGTCCAAATCGTCCTTGATTGTGACTGGGGAGGGGGTGGAGTGGATGGGCGTGTGAAGGCCACTACTAGCTTCAGCTGCTGCTTTTAATGCCCCCTGGTGATCACTGAGGTTAAAACTCTCCTCCCACCACTGAGGAGCTTTGATAGGTTGTCCTGTTACTGTAAGATCCAAGGGATTTTCTGTAGTAAAGTCAAGTGGAACGTCCGAACTAAGGTCAGCTTGACCGAACAAGTCCTCTATACTGAAATCGTCCGAGTTGGCCTCTGATGAGGGAGGACTCATTGCTGCTGACGGACTGAGATCCTGCTCACTTGTGTTGTCTAATAAATCCTCCGTTTTTACCCGTACACCGCCAATCTCAATATCTTGATTCAATATAGAGGTCCAGTTGAAATCTCCTTTCAGTGAATCATCCTCCTGACCAGGAAACAGAACACTGAGTCCATTTTGACCACCATTTTTGGAAAATTTACTGAAGTTGATGAGACTGTTGCAACTAGACATGCTGTCGTCATCCTCTCGCTTCACTTTTTTAAGAGGAGGAGGACAAGCAGCATCCCGACTGTTCCTTCGTTTTTTGAAAATGCCATTTTCGATCATGTCATTGTAATCTGGGTTGATTCTCCAGAAACCACCCTTTCCAGGCTCATCCTTTCTTCGTGGTACTTTCTGGAAACATTTGTTCAAGGACAAGTTGTGGCGGATAGAATTCTGTAAAGGAATAATGTTATCCATTAACAATTAGCTGAATTGATGATAAATATGAAGAGCTAAATCAATTTCATAAAAGGCGAAAAGTATTTTTTTTTAATTTGAGAATCGATAATGCAATATGTTAAGGATTTTAAATGTATTTCTTGTCATCCAGTAACATTGTAATACATTTTACTGTGTGTTATAATCTGAACAGGGACTAAGGTGGATCATAGGATTATCTTTTAGCTTACTATTGTTTGAATGGTTGCACATGAACATAGATCTGTACCTGATTCAATTCTTAAAGGTGGGTCAACCATAAGATTAAAGGCCATGTCACATATCTTATAATTCAAATGCATAACTCCAGCTGAGTGGGCTGTTGGGTAGGTTTAGGAGTCCATTGTCTTTAAAACAAAGACAGGTATCCTTTGCAATTCAGAAAGCTTACCTGCCAACTTGGGTCTGCTAATCTGTAGTACATAAAGTTGTCTGTGATCCAGTTGTAAATTGCTGACAATGTGATTTTGCTTTTCTTGGTTTCTTTCATGGCCATGCAAATGAGTGTGGCATAGGAGTATGGTGGCTTTACATAAGGGTTAGTCTTGTAGTCGATTGTGTCCCCACCAAGGGAGGTGGGCGTGCCTGGGGTGGGGTCTGCCAGGTGAAACTTGGTCTCTAGCTTGCACTGTGGAGGGGCACAGGAGACATTGAGCACAGCATTGGGGTTTACTTTTAGATTTTTGAAATTGTTGCTGTTGTTGCTGCTCTCTGCCATCAATATGGGGGCGGGACCAGGACTTGGCGGTGGGGTTGGTGTTGTGATCTTCATGATGTTTAGGTTCTGTAGCCAGTTGAGACTGGTAAGGCTGTCATCCAGATTGAGTCCCCCATTGCTGCAGGTGTCAAGTGGGTACTTGTTCATCCAGTTCTGCCTGAACTTGACGGCCAGTGTGTCTCGCTTGTTGGCCGGCATCTTGGCAGTCAGCTGCTGCTGCCGCTGGACTGTGTATGCTTGTGGGAACTTCGTCTTGGCGGTGGGGGTGTAACTTTGCTTACAGCAATTGTAGGTTAAATACCTGCAAAATAATAATACAATAATGAAATATTTGTTTATAAGCAAATAAAAATTACCATTTCACACCAAATAGATTTGCAACATGTTTTATTTGGACACTATAGCCAAAGATTAAACTTTTGATTGAACTTTTTGAATATTTACTTTAGGTTATGACCTTGAATAATAAAAGGTGATATGCTTATCAAAATATGATAAACACTTCATATTGAACTTGCATATTATTTTATAACACCTGCATCAATTTATAAAAGTTCTAAGCTTGTTTGTATGTTGACAACTGTGAATGGATTTTAATGAAATTGAATAAAATAATGTTTGTTTAACCCAGACCATATATGAATATAGCATGATAAAGGCAAGACAAAATCTAGTCTTTCTTTCCGAAGATCAACCTTGGAAAAAATATGTTGTGCTAAAGCTGACATGTAATATGTCTATTTAATCTTAGAATTTTATATAAAAATATTTTTTGCTAACTCAATCACCTTTTATTCCACTCGAATTGTTGTAAATTAAGAAAAATAAACAAAAAAATATTTAAAATGTGAATCACCAAAAATATTAAAAATCCAAATCATATGAAAAATAATATGCTGAATAAATTATCCTGCTTTTTACTATCTTACCTTTTTTATAAGTTCGGTTTCCAGTAAGGCCTACTCCAATTACAAAAAAAATACTGACTGGCCTATTGGTATGACCTCCTGTGACTGAAGCATGGACATACAGCTCTGATATTACTGGGAATGTCACCTCGAGAGCAAGTTTGGACAACCGATAATGCGACCGAACATGCTTAGAAAAGAGCGTCAACCTATGGCATTAACATATGAATGGTCATCTACCTGTATGTTTACCTCTATTTATAGGCTTGATGACACGTGGTATTAAATACCGGTAACCGCCTAATGACAGGTGTAAAACTATAACGGGGTGGTATAAACTTTCATATTTCGGAAAGAATGGTCAAAATTACCTTTACAATCTAGACTCTTTGAAAGAATAATTGGACAATCAAAACTTACCTGTGGGTTACTTTGAGCTCCGGTAAAAACTGCTCACGACTAGCTGTCTCCCGCTATACCTTTTTCACCTGTGCTTTATGATCAAGGTGATAGGTCCAAGCTTGTTTGTCGGAGAACCGCTAAATCTTATCATAGATGAATAGAGCCGATTCTACTGCAAGTTTGTAAAACTGCATACATCCACAATTTGCCTAATTAGAGATATCCATTGTTTTCTAGCTTTCCTCCACCCCGATACCTGCTACTGTACCCGGGCAATACACATTGCAGAATGAGGACTTTACCTGTGCACTCGATTGATGAATCAAAACATCGTAGCAACATGGTAAACGCTTGTAAATATTACCTCGCTTTTGATTGGTTCTCAGCACTGTTGTGTATTCGGCTATGGTAGCGGGAGTAAACACGTTCTGCTGCGATCTATCATTTTATTTGATTGGTCGATTGAACCTTGCCGAAGCCATTAATCATAATACTGATTGGGCCATCACTTTCGTAAATGGGTCAATCCAAGAAAATTTACATATGAAGGCATTGTTTGGGTGTTGTTTTTCAAAGCTTTGTAGTCGGGATCCAAGACACACATAACAAGTACTTCTGGTCTGTTTATTTACATCAATGCAATATTATTATAAAAGGGCGCGAGTTTTTTCCCCCTGCGATGTGTCATTTGGGTAACGTTTCGATGTTTAGTTTAAACATATGTTATTGCCAAGCAAATGGATTGGGCACAAGTTATTATACCGCCACAACTTATCAATGTGTAAATAATGGATTTTTATCATTTTATGCGCAACCGGTTGGACATTATAAATAAGTCATGAAATACAATCAAGACAGCGAAAGAGTAAACTTATAGTAAGCCCTTTCCCAGCAAATTACGAACATATATTTACAATAGTACAAGAAGGCAGACTATATTGAAATAAATGTTCATATATATACGCTATTTTATTTTTAAATGCTTTAATTTATAAATTGAAATTATAAGACAGAGACAGAGAGAAGGGGGGGGGGGGGGTAATAGTCTGCAATTATGATACATACATCCTCATCATTATTAATGTATGACATATGGTATCTGCCTCCAAAGCAACAATGACAAGTTTTATTCTCGCAAACTGGTTACAGTGTAGAGAATTATAAACCTATATATAGTACAGTTTACATATAAATCATGGTGTTAATGGCCAGTGTTAATTCGCTCAATTATGTGCTTAAGGAATTTTATAAGTGAAATTAATTCTTCATTATTAACATAATTGAATAATGTATTAAACTTGAAAGTACTAGGACTTTCAAAATGATATCTCGACATAAATTATCTTCTGTTTTGCAGTATCTGGTGGTCATTACAATTAAACAAATGATATTCGTCCCCAATTTCATTTAGGTCACAAAAAATACATTTTCTATCTTCTCTAGGAATGTTATTCCATCTACCACATTCAATCGGAAATTTAACATTACACATTCTAAATTTACAATAAACATTTGCTAGTCTTGGAGGGAGATCTAGCAGGTATTTTTCTAATACTAAGTCATTTTTAAAAATTCTGTAATTAGTCCCTTTNGGTATTTTTCTAATACTAAGTCATTTTTAAAAATTCTGTAATAAGTCCCTTTGAATACATCGCTTCTCCAATTATTAATGAATTTATCTTTGAGTGTATGGAAAACTGTATTTTTCAACCATTGGGTACTTTGGAACTCTTGAATTTCAAATATATGTTTTAAATTACATTCATCAAGGATATTTTTAATACAATTCGACCATTGAGTATTTAAAAAAAAAAGTTTATAATAATTTTATACATTTTATTATTTAAGGTTCTAACAATTTGGCCCAAAATCCAATCATTCGAACTTTGATAATTATACTCAGAGGAAATCTTCCTTATTCCCCATAAATCATGAAATTGGGTGTCGATGTTTTCACCTGAAGAATATGTTTGCAAAATTTCAAATGTAAACGTTCTAAAAGTTTGTTATCACAAAAACCCCAGACTTCACAACCATACAACATGACAGGCTTGATGATAGCTTTATCGAAAATATCTAATTTACAGTCAATTGATAGATTATGCTCTCTGCATTTAGCAATAGCACCATACATTGCTCTAGGGCCCTTATCATATAATTGTCTAATATTTAACTGCGTGAAACCATTTTGAGTAAATTTCTACTTCATTTCTGTTATAAGTAAAACGTATATTTTGGGGTACTCTCCCTCTACCAAATATCATCACTTTTGTTTTATCGATATTTACTTTAAGATGCCACAATTTTGAATAATCATAAAACACATTAAGTTGTTTTTGTAAATCTTCTGGGGTATCTGCTAACAAAATAGTGTCATCAACATTACATTCAACTTAAGATATATATATGTGTAACTCATTCTCAAGTTTTCCCGCCAAATTTTATAGACCTGTACAATCATTAGATTCTAAAAACATTTCAAGGTCATTTAGATACTATGAAAATAAAAATGGGGAAAGATTTTCACCCTGCCTAACCCCGGAATTACAGGTGAAGATATTGGAGAATGTTCCATCTTTCATGACTTTAGCCTTAATTCCATTGTACATATTAACAATAACTTTAAAAAAATATTTCCATCTACATTATTTGTTATTAATTTGTTCCACAACCCTATTCTCCAGACACTGTCGAACGCTTTCTCAAAATCTATGAAAGCACAATACAAACGGATTTTGAATTGTTTTGAAAGTTGAGTTAAAGAATATAAAGAAAATATATGATCTATCAACAGATAGTATAAAAAAGCATATCGGACCATGTGGTTGTTTTTTTCTCCATGCAAACGGGCTGTTCACAACTTTCTGCATGTTCAAATGTTCATCACATCCCTATACAACCTTCCTCCTGTTCGTTCCGTGCTTTCTGGTATTTCCGTTTCTACCAGTCCGTCTGCACAGAGAAAAACCAAACACATGGTTGGGCACGATGCACGGTAGATAACGGAAGTCCAGATAAAATGGTGTAGTTTTAAATGGAATCATGACATTTTTATAATCAGCGTCATATCTGAAAACACGTTGGTGATAATAGACCCGAACCCGAACATTGCTTTGTCTGATTATGATTTAATTCATGTATTACTTGGGGGTAGCCTTCACCATATATTAAGCGCATTTTATGTAACCTTTGTACTGCATAGTGCTATTTTTATTGACAACATGTTGCTGTTGTATCAGCGTTAATAATGAAATAACACGTACAAATGTACGTACAATAGCAATATCTACCTAATTGCTATTTTTTCTCTTATTTTGTGTGTGTTTATGTGTGGGTAACCCTGAGAGGACCTTGCTGGTTGGCTTTCCCCAACCCTTGGAAACCTCAGGATTCCCAGGCATTCTAATTATTTGTATGATTTGCTCTTAACGAGACCATTCTTTCTGTATTTACTAAACTAATTCAAGATTCATTAACTTCTCTCTTCATCTCTGTAGTTAACTGATGTATTTATGTGTATTTAAGTATCAATTAATAATATGTGATTTGTATTTTGACTACACTGTACATTTTTGTAACTCTTCAACTTGGAGGAAATAAAGAAATAATAATCAATTAGTAAGGGTTTTAGCACAGTCCCTCCGCCTATATAATCCTTACCACCCCCCTGGCACCCCCCTTCGGCAGGGGGGTACCGATCGATGACGTCACAGGGGGGTGTCTCCTAGTGGT